CAAAGTGCACCTCAGAGATGACACCATTAAGGTAGATGGGTTCCTTCCCCACACAAACACCATCCTCGAGTTCTACAGTTGCGATTGGCACAGATAATTCGGTACTACTCACCCAACACAAAGTCTCTAGTGGCAAGTGGGACAATGGGTGACTTGTACACTAACATAATGAACAGAGAAGGGCGTTTATGCCAGGCAGGCTACAATGTGGAATCAATATTGAATGTGAGTGGGGCAGGGAATTGGCTGACAAACAGTGTCAGCAGACATATACACAACCTATGTGGCCAAAGACATGGTTGAGGTCAGGACCTTGTTTGGAGGAAGAGTTGACTGTTACAGAATGCTGATAAAGTCGTTCGATCACCCATGACCATCATCAGACCCTCTGGTTCAGAAAAGACTGATGAAATAATATGCAAGATACCTTGATGTCACCTTGATCTACCCGTCTGTGAACAAAATGGGAATCTATACTGTAGGACATCCAGTCATTCTGAAAAACTGTGAGTTCCAGACTACCCTACAGCTCTCCTATTTTGGTCTGATGCACTGCAGGGTGTTACCACCCAGAGACCTCTTCCACACAATTTTACCATGTTGGATTAGAAGCCCTAGGGGCTCTGCACCTAAAGTTATGTTTGTGGTATGCCATAAATTCACAAAAGAAGTGAATTCCTGCTGATCAGTTGCATTAGCCCAAATTAAGTGAGAGAGCTATTGAGGGAGTCCAGAAATTGCACTTGCACTAGAGGAGAATTACTCAATATTGTGCATGTTCAAGGTCTTAAATTATACTAGAAGAAAATGGTCTCTGGAGACTACATTAACACGTTCCTGAAGGGCAAGCAAGAGACCGCAGGCTGGACCAAAAATTGTATGAGCCCAGAAGAGTGCAAAAAGTACATTGACAACTACAAGAAAGCCCAAGGTGTGCAGCATGACACCTGGCTGCTTGGGAGACCAAAAACAAGATGCCATGTGATCTCAATAAGAGATGTCTAAACAATTCTGGTAAGTGGGCTAAAAGCAAGATCAGAGCCAAACTAAATTGACACGGGCACAGGCAGGCAATTTTCTCAGCTGCTTCCTACAACTTGAAGGATGTGCATGGCTTCCTTTACTTTCAATTGAAAGCTTGTGGAAGTAGAGTCAAGAATTTTAAAACAATCTTCTGAACAAAATTCTCAACTCTGCTTCCACAAGTTTCCAACTGAAAATAAAGGAAGCCATGCACATCCTTTGGGAGCAGCCGTTGTTAAATTCTCAGGTCAAACATATTAATGTATCCCTTTCATACTAATTAGTCTCCTTTCTTAGCTCAAATAGGTTTACCTTTTTTGGTTCATGCCTTCATCCTTAATTGCTCTTGTTAATATCTCACTTTGTTACACTATTTATTGCATATTTTCATTTTACAACTGACCATGGATGATGTCTCATCAGAAAGAAGTATTGTCTTCATTAAAAAATGAACTACAAAAACATTGTGGGGTTCATCAGAGCAATCTCTTACTTTGTGCTGCTACGAAGCCTTAATTATAATAATAATAATAATAATAATAATAAGAATAATAAAGGTTTATTACCATTCCACTGAACATGGCTCTTCTATGATAAGACCTATATACAGTAATAAAGAGAATTGAATCCAGCTATATTCAAAATATCTACAAACTTGAATAAAGAAAAGGAAAACAAATATATCTGAGGACAGTGTAAGAGCAGTTTTCATGTCAGACAGAAAGGCTTTACTTAATGAGAACCTTTGATGGTTTTATCGGAGTTGAACTATCTAGTAAATGAGTATTTTCTTAGTTCTTCTAAACTAATGTTGTAACTGTTTATAAAAGATCGGTATATTCCCATTTCGCCAATACAAGAGTAACCACCTATTGCTTCTGACACAGAAAGCCATATAGTAAGAAGTTTCGACGTGTCCTTCAAAGATAGTTCTTACCACCTTACAGCTATCACTCATGAGTATGTTTCCATGTGTATTGGAAGTATGCAAGAGGGGGCGGTATTTTACAGAGACTTTGAACAAGAAGCATCAGTTGCTTCTAAGGCATTTCTATATTACAAAAGTAGCCCTGTTGTGTTTGCCTCTCCAAGGCTAAGTATGAGTATTTAAAACACGATCACTCCCAATTTGGCATAACATTTATGGAGGTGCAGTAATTTGAGAGGGAGTTTGTGAGGGCCAACCAGTTGCTAAAAAATACCAAAGAAGGGAAGAAAAAAGATCTACCCAGAGTAGCCTACAAGTTAAATGATCTCTGGCAGGCAGATATAGTGGATACCACTACCTCACATAGATGTGACCAGTAGGCAAGGGGATCCCATTTAAGTTCCACTTTCTTTTGGATCTGAACAGCAACAATCCTCCTCTTCTGATCAGAACTTCACTGCTCGGATAATTATATAATTATAATTATATAAATTTGAGCATATAACTCCATCACTCAAGAATTTGAGGTGGCTTCCTGTGAAAAAGCAGCTTTACCTCTGAGACGCTGTTTTTGCTTTTAAGTGCATGACAGGCTGCGCCCCGACCTATCTGACATCACAATTTGTCAAAAGGCAACAAATATCAAGCAGAACCACAAGAAACTCACAACAACTGAACATTCCCCTGTGCAAAAACCACTGCTGGTCAGAGATCTTTTCATTACAGAATAGCAAAACTATGGAACTCTTTAGACAAAGACTTAAAACTATGCGAGAGTCATGCAAATTTTAAGGAAACTCTGAAGACAAAGCTTCTCAGCAAGTCCTTAAATTAAATTTTTCTTATTTCTTTCATTTTTCTTCCTTTCTATTTTTTTTTTATATAATTAGTGTACTTCATACATAATATATAACTAGTGCACTTTGTACTTATCTCACCTCATGTATTATATTGTTCACTGAAAAACCTTTTAAGGAGTGTACAATAAAATTTTATTTTATCTTATCTCAATAGCCACAAAATGCCAAAGTTATTGAGAGGATAGTAGTAGTGGTTTATTAAAACACTCTGGCAGTCTTAGATAGAATTAACAAGCTAGGTCTACAAGAAATAACATTAAATAAATCTAACTAATCTAATCTAATCTAATGTAATCTACTTTGTTACAAACCAAATGCAACAAGTCAGCATTTGAAATTATCAAGTCCAAACCTGAGAACGGTGATATAGACCTGTACTTGTGGTTACTTTTGATTGTGCCTGACTGCCCCAGGCAAAATCCTGAAGGCATCATTTTCAAACCACTAACTGAAATGTGGGGATAAATGATCTAACCTCTCACAGCTAAGAATGTGCCATTCTTGAACTAAGCAAGCAGAGCTTGATTGACAAACTGAGCCAAATTGGGTATATATCTGTCAAACCATTATACAAGAACTGGACAAAGTTATGCAAAACAATCACATGGGGATGATTCCATCTCCTATAAGTACTGCTGTTGAAAATTTTAATTGGATTCTTTTTCTGGTATTTGATGCAAAATGAAATAGATCAACATTGTACAAGGAAGAATTTCATTATGCACATAGTATCCCGTTCCTCACCTGTGAAAGTGCCCTACTCAAGGCAAAAGAAGTTTTTCCCAACTCTATCATGATATCCTTGAAAGGAAGGAGGAAGGCTGATCTTGAAGAGATTGCTATTCAGCTGAAATTGAGCTATGTAGGAACTGTGCAAGAGATGAAGATTCATAGAAGACCACTTCAAGAGAACGGAGCTAACGTACGACACTCTTTTGATGAGTTAATAAGACATAGTTTTCCCCAAGAATGATAACCAACCATTGCTTGAATCGATTGTGTGCGTAGACAACAAATTTTTGTATGCAACCAAGAATTCTGTTGGAGATCACTGCAAAGTTGTGCAGTTAATCCTGCAGAGTGATGGTATATTATATTATTATGGTATGATATATTATTACATTATTATATTATGGTGTTTGGCTTGAGTGCACTGAAGAGCATGCTATTGTGTCACATGATGAAGACTGGGGAAAGGCACATAGTATGCGCATCAATGAGAACTGTCTCTTCTCGTCTAACCAGCATGGTGCAAGTAAGACAGATTTCACAACAAGACAGCATTTTGTCATTCTTGGTGCTTCAAATGATCCTATATTTTAACTAAATTTGGACTTGATCTGCTCTTTGCTAATCAGAGAAGTTGTTCAGTTTGGAAGTTGCGACCAGCTGGAGATGCAAATGTTTGCTTGTAAGGAAAATTGCTCATTAGATGGACCTGCCCAGTGGCATATTGTTTTAAGCAGCCAATGGGAATCAGCTCCAAGTTTGACAGTGTAGTGTGTGCAATGCAAAAACAAACAGCATCTAACTGCTGATCAAAATGAACCATTGCTCAAAATTCCTCAGGGCAGTTAATGCACTCTACAAGGCTTTCTCTGTCCATAAGGGCACTTCATAGGAAGACTGGCTCAAGTGAGGCAGAAATAAAGCATATAATCCAGGCAGATATATGAGATATGAGGGCTAGAAGATACAAGGGCTTCAGATAAATCCATGGCATTCACAGATATTGTGATGAAATTGTTGTAGTTCACTCTGTATGCTCCACCCCACTTACACAATCTAAATGGCTTACACCCGTACATTCTAGATTTAGATCACTGGGTTCAAGCAATCTCAACTGATCATCTAAGTCTTTCCAGTAGCTCATTAAATATCCATAAACATTTCGACCAATCAAATCACTTTGCTGTTCGGTAAACAAGCCCCCAAAAATGGCATCCATAGCCTACTTGTTGTGCATTGATCTGGCTATAAGCATTCAGTTTTTAGACGTTCTTTTCTCCTGATTATTTGCGTGCTTGCCAAAAACAGCTGATCGCAAAATACCTCTGGCTTGAATCACCCATGAAATGCCTCAGTTAAAGCCAATTTCCTTAAATGTGAAGAATATTGGGCATGATGGAAAGAAGACCACCATTTCCATTCCACTAAAAGTTGAATTTGGGAGGTAGCCTGAAAAGAGTATGCAGGAAAATAACAAGGAGATTGACAGTCCAGAAGAACAAGATGTCCCTCTTCATGATCTCGAGAACCAGCTATCCACATCTCGACAGCAAAATCGTGTTTTGAGCACCTCTGGTAACTGGGAAAAGATACAGGAAAAATTGCTGAATTCATACATTGAAGAACAGCAACTCCCAGACAATGTAATCTGTGTAAACTGTCAAGAAGGTATCGCTGTAACACAGTGTTAATGCTGTGGCCCTCCCCAGTACTTTTGTATTGGATGTGCATGAGGTTTACATGGCAGTTGAAACAAGTTTCATGTTCTTGAGCAGTGGAAGGTCAGTATAAAAGTTATGAATGTTTTCTGGCCGGTTGCATTTAAGTTAATTCTAACTACTTTTTAGTGTAACATATCTAGTTAAACTGTTCTTTTATCTCCCTCTTGCTGTCTTTTTCTTAACAGGATGGCGAAAATATTGGCAAGAAAGTTTGTTAAAAACATAAGGTCAACAATTTTGATCCTGAGGAAGGTAAGCAATTGAATTTCGAGCAAAGACAACTGCGACACTCTGACCAGTTTGGCAGCTTCCTTTACTTCCAAATCATCCCAAAGTTTACAGAATTGATGAGCATTGTTTTAGATTTCCTTATTAAGAAGTAAAATATTGCATCAGGTGAGGAAATGAGCAGGAAACTCCCTGAGCACATGCTGCGTGTTTCAAGCACGAAGTCAAGTATTGTGTTGTTTGCAAGCACAAGGCCGTGAAACTGAATGCAAAGATTATTGATTCTGGAGTGTCTAGGACTCAGATGTGGCAAGAACAAAAGAAGGAAAGACAAGAGAAAAGAAGAGCACATTATGAGAAAAAACAAGAGAAAATTTTTGAAAAGGTTGTGAAAGCCATAAAGAAAAGTCAAGAAGCCAAGCACAGACAATTACGGTATGTTCCAATCAAAGACGCCACAAAGAAATTTTGGCGCAAACAAAACCAGCAGAAGATCGCTTCAGAAAATAAAGGGAAACTTGAAAAACAGAGAAAGATGGCTAGAGAACAAAGTAAGTGATACTGTCTAAAAAAGAAAAACCAAAATGCACAGGTTCAAGTGCTGGAAGCCGCACCGATCAAAGTTACTGGTATGCCGTTCCCAAACAGGATGGCCAAGAAACGTGCCATTGGACAAGCTACAAAGGGTCTCCCAGATACCCTGGAGAAGAAAGCAGAAGTAATGGCAGCTATATCAAAAAGTCCACAAATAAGGAAAGTGCTCAAGAAATGCAGACTAATAAAAACGCTAGGAGAGAAAGACGTGATTGCACTTAAAGCGCTTGCTAGTGATCTCACCCAAAGCCTTAAAGCCATCAAAAATGAAAAGTCAAACAAAGAAAGAGCTGCACTTAGAGCAGCAAAATCACTTTCTTTTGGTCAAAATGTTAAAAAGAGTACATGCCAGAAGACACTTTCAGAACTCATAGCCTTGGATAGAAGAAGTATCAAGTCAGGAATTGAGAAACACAAAATGATCTTAAAAGGTGAAGAGCCAAGCTGGCCTGCAACCAAATGAAAAACCAGGCGGGATGCAGTCACTGAAAAAACCAAAGAGGTCGTTTATGATTATTGGAAAATGGTGGCAAGTAGACCAACAGGAATCAAGAAAGACTTGATCAGAAGAGGCATTGGAATGAAAACATGGGTTGAACATCCAAAACATGTGCTTGAAAAAACCCACACAGAAGCCTACGTTAAGTTTGCATCAATGTACCCCCCAGACCTGCATGTGTCGCCAGCACGTTGAACTTCAAATTATCTTCAAAGACTGCATGAAGTTTAGGAAGAGGGTGGTTAATGAAAGCAGAGAAGCTAATCAAGCAGTTACAGAAGTGTATACCTCAGCTGGAAATATTATTGAACAAACACTTCGCCCCAAACCCAAAGACTAAGACTATCATAAATTGAAATGCTTGAAAAGCGAGTGCTAAGACTTTGGAGTTCACAGCTTGGTTTTGCTGTCAGAGGAGAAAGGTGTTGGCAATCATGAAGTGAAATGGAAATGGTACGACTGTGTAGACTGAAAAACTTACCACTGATGGAAAAGACATGAAAAAGAGCCCTTGTTGCTAAATGGCCAAGGGAACAGCTAGATTCTCTTCTTGAAAACCTTCCTCTTGATCAAGCCCTGCGCATCCATGACTATTCTGAGGATTATGTCTGTCGCTTTCAAGATGAAATCCAGTCCCAATACTTTAATGTAAATAAAGTAAGTCTTCATGTAACAATTCTTTACAGATATTCAAATGCTGAGGTGGATGGTGTCCAGAGCACAGAAGAGGAACCACCAATTTGCAAGGAGCATTTGTTTCTGACCTCTGATGAAGTCACCCAGGATCATGACTCTGTCCTTCACATCCAGAACTAATTTCAAAGCAATAGAAGAATCCAACTACACCATCAAGAAGATGCATGAATTCACGGAGGGACGTGCAGGACAGTACAAGAGCCGGCACTGTTATGGTGACCTATCTTGTTCCCTGGCAACTCTTGGATACACAGTCCAGCGAAACTACTTCGCCACCTCCCATGCAAAGGGAGAACAAGTAGCAGCTAGCTCCCTTGTCAAACAGAAGGCGACTTCAGCAGTTCTCTCCAGGAAAGTCACACTATCAAATGCAAAAGATATTTCTAACTTTCTGAAAGAGAACTTCTCTGAACCAGCCGTTTCCTCATTTCCTGCTAGGCAGAAGTCAGTGCAGTTAAAGCGGCGTGTCTTGTTCTATTTGCCTTCTAATGGAGAACTGAGTGTTGCACATAACAGGGAAGCTGGAAGATTCTGCACTGTCAAAGGCATCTGACAACTACACTCTGTAAGGACTTGCAGTGAACAGCTTATAGTCTCCATGAGATAGAGATCTTGTTACTGCCATGGTCACATTGTCAAGAGTATTGACAGCTGTGAAAATAAGGAATGGGTTGGCAACTGGAAGGAGATTGTTCTGTCAAGAGAACCCTCAGGTGTCAAGTATTGTGGCTGTGGCAGCTGAAGATGACAGTCACTATGATAACTACCTCCTTAAAGTTACTAGCAGTGGAGTCATTTCCCTTCAAGAAAACTTTGAGGATCCTTTTAGTGGAAGCATTTATTCCGAAGGACAGGCTGTTCTTTTCGGAAATTTCTTTTTAAGGGTGAACGTTATTAATTGTACATATAAACTGGATGATAAGGTGGCAGGAGTATAACCAGGAACTGTGCGGTACATCTGTGGACCACTTGTGTCAAAGCAAAGTAGTGGAAGGCCAATTTATCAAGTTCCATTGGACGAACATGAACAAATTCTGGCATCCCTTTATCTGTTTTTGCCCTCAGTAGCTTGCAATTAAAATTGTCCTTAAATATGGTAGTTAAGCATTTTTTACAAAAAAAGGGCATGGCCGCATTGCATCATGGGTAATAGAATGTTAGCTTAAAATGCATCTGAATTGACTGAAATGACAATTTCAAGATAGGAACCAATTTCCTTCACTTTAGGACTTATTTCTAACAAAAATTGATTCTTAAATAAATTTTTCAATTTTACTCCAATGTTACGCCTTTGTACATCAGAACTGTGCTACTGATCACGTACATCAACTTTATTTCAGTTTCTTAAAAAGGTTTAGCTATTAGAGGTAATGATGGAGCCAGATGGTAGGGAGTGATGAGCAGGTCACTGCCATCTTGAATGGAAATCTATTGTTATTGAACTTTTCATTTGGTTTCCTTTACTTGGTAATTTTAAATTAACAGCATATTATGGACGTGAGACTTACACCTTTCACCGTTTTTCAACATCACTTTGTTGACTCGGGAAGACATTGTCACTTCATTTCTTGTTTTCAAATTGTTTCTTCCAGATGCAGTTTGCTTCTATTTTTAAAGTGCCTATGAGGTAAAAGATAATTGCTGCTTATTTGAAACACTATCCAAAGAAAAGAAAAATGACATTTTCCTTTTTGGAATATCTTTTCTCATTTTAGAGATATTTACACTTTTGTATTATGAAAATGATATTCTTGATTCAGAATTTTATTCTTTTAACCCTTTAAGACCCAATCGTACATATATGTATGATTCGTCACGTGCTCTTAAAAATGTTGGCTTACTTCAACAGGCATTCTGGGATTGAAGTAGAAACACTATTATGGGATACCCATTCTTCATTTCAAGAGGCACTTTTTCTTCAATATTTTCTAGCCCTAGTTTAACTGGTGATTAAAAAATGGCTGCACAGTATTTCACTTTGGAAGAGGTTGTGAAAAGAGAGTGCTAAACGATGAAGAAGTCAGTGATTTTGACAACGAAAGTGAAGAAGACTTGCCAGATGTGTCATCAGAAAGCGAAAACAATGGCAATTCAAGCAAAAATGAGGCTGAACTCATGGAAAATACTGACGACTCTGGTATCTTTGTGCGCACTGTTTACATTTGGAATCAAACATTTTTCATTTATGAACAGTGTCGCTTCGTTTTCTAGTTTTTTTATGGGAATATCTTTTTATAAACATTCAGATGTTAGCAACAAAGAACCCAACAGCAATGGCAGCCATGATCATAGTGCAAGTGCACGTGGTCAAACAACAGGCTCGCGTGGAAGTCGAGGACAACGACTGCACTTCAGAGGAGGTCATTGAACACCTCGCTGTGGTGCCCTGCAGATCCAAGACTCGTTCTAGTCACAATTATAAATTCTTAACTGTAAACAGCACAAAGAATGCATATTTTTATGCTTTTTTCCTTGTACTTTAAGGATGTGGAACAAACCACCACAAGACTTTATTGAAAATAGTTCTTTGGAGTCATTTAAGACTAAGATTTCAAAGTGTTTTACTAAGTAATTTATGTTCTTTAATTATTTCCCTATATCATGTATTTTATTTCTTTGTTTATTTATCTATATATTATGTCCAAGTAGCTAAAGATATATTTTTGTTCTCCTCCATTTTTTGTGATATTTTTAACATTGGTGTGATGTCTAATGACTTTACCAACAAAATCAAATGGAGATGTACAATTTTGACCCAGTCACTCTGTGTCTGATGTAACATGGATTGCAAAAGATTTCAGTGGTAACTAGGAAGCAAGTCCAGGGCTTTCTTTTCAAATGTGACTGAGGAAGAAGAGATCTTTGCTTGCCAATGCAGGAGAGAGCCCTTGGTAGGATCTGCCGAGGTAAGGCAAGTTTTGTAGCCCTTCATCATCTTATCACGTATCACACCTACAACATCTGGGAACATACCTCCAATGACAAACCTACAACTATCAGTGTCTCTGTCTTATACAACATCCCTTTCTCTCACAATATTGATATTTCCCATATAGCTGCGAGACGCACAAAGCCCAAGCCCTCAATAAACTGCAAGAGCTAGTGAAGTCGTGTTCATGCTCGAAGTGATATGTTAAAGCTGTCATGTGCTCTGTTCCATCAAAAGCTTTGTATGGATATTTGATTAAATTGTATGCATCATGCATGTAGGAGCTCTTAATGCAAGTTTTACATTCTTTGCTAGAACATTCTGAAATTCTCCCTTCCCTTCCCTACTACTGTTCCCGCATCTGCACCCTGCTCCAGCAAACAGGCTATGAATTTTCAATAACAGGGGCAAGTCGCAAACAGTGCCAAAAAAATTAATTTAAGGCCTTTCAACAAGGAAGATGAAACAAAGGGTTGTTCTTCTGGAATGACACATCTGAAGAGGTGAAGTCTGCTATGGAGAAGGAGTTGAAAAAAAAAAACAGTTTGCTATGCCAAAGATAAACCAAATCATGGCATCTTCACCAGGTTTGGAACAACCCATTGGCGACAAGCTTGAGCTGGTTGGTCCGATGTTAGCTGTTTTCATCGGGGAAGACTTCATGGTAGCTTTAAAATATTATTTAGACTTAATTTACTTTTCCCAAGAAACCCCACCCTCAAGCACGTTTAGGCATGTCTTTTGCCCTGGATGGATGTTAAAACCTTAAAAAATTGGATGAGGCAGTCATGGCAGGGTTTTCTGACTTTCCAAAGTAAGTGTGAATAATATTATTAAGAGCTCCCATAAGTTATAATGATAAATGACACCATGTTTTGTTTACCATTTGTAAATTCTGATTTAAACGCAAACTTAAACTAAGAAATAACAGGTTCCGTTGAGATATTTGAATCTACCAGATTGTAGGTTATTGATGACACACAGCACTCCGTTACTAAGATAAAAGTACCTCAATGGAAAGTACAATTCTCCAAAATTGCCAATAATTTTTTCTTGACATTTTCAACATTTCAGTCAGAGAATAGTAGCAGGAGGAAAAGGTGTTACTCTTTTTATGCACTTCACCCATTGTGCCAAATGGGGGCAATTTCAGAGGGTCCAAGTGGGATCATCAGAGCAAATCAAGTTTTGTATCAAGAGAGATGTCGCTTGTGGTTGACCGAGACGTTTTAGTGGGGTCAATCAACAAATCACAGTTTGTAAAGAAAGATGGTGGTTTGCAGAGAAAGTTAGCGTGAGTTAATGCCCTGATACTTTTGAACTTAAACTACTTAGGAATCAGAGGATGCGTGGATATGCCATTTGCAGGAAACCACAAGATTTTGCCATCTCTGGAGGATGTAGAACAGAATGAAAATGCTGGATGCTGTTTAAAAAAACAACAACAACCCTTGCCACCTGAATTCCCACTGGATTGAGAAGCACTCAGGTTTGTTTAGCAGAAGATTTTTAAAAACCACCTAAAAGTTGAACTCCATGAAATGTCTGGATAGTAGCAGACATGTTCAGATTTTGAGAAACACAACATGTTTTAAAAACATGTTCCAACAGAATCTTCTGTCATCTTCCGTTCGAATTACAAAGTACAGAGTTGAATATATAGTGTACACAAAATGCTAATTGACTATAAGAACAAAAGGAAACACGACAATGTAAAATATTACAAAGAAAGTTTCAAATTAACGTGATAATGTTGATGATTTAGTGTAGGTTTTTCCCACTGAATATGAATAGCTTCTTTTATCTTAACCTGGAAGGTGGTGGAAGCATGATCTAGGATACTGAAACAGTTATTACAGCATGAAATGCGGCATTGCTGAGAATTTTGTAAGTGTTCGAAAATGTGAGGTCCTATCACTGAACATGTGCTCACATATGCATGTGCGCATTTGTGGACATTTGTGGAGAACTGTTGAAGTTACGTTTCGCCGTATCTTCTAGACTGTTTTTAAGAGTCTCACCCTTCTTTCAGATAAAAGGGCAACTAACTTCACGCACACAGGCATGAGCCAGCGTGGGTGCCGGCAAATCTGGCCTATCGTTTGTAGGCTTTCATTTCCTTAAAAACGTGTTCTATTTTTACCCTCCTCTTAAACAGAAGCTTGTTAAACCTTTGCGCTTGCCTTCTGTCCCTGTTATTTAATAAAGGCATCTGGTTAGCTTTTATGGGTGTCAGTAGTGACCCACCATCTGGATACGCCTTATCAGCCAGAAGCTTTGCATTGGGTGGTAGATCCAAGTTACGCCCTGGACCAATAGGTTCCAT